TGAATTTCTCAATTTCTCAATTTCTCAATTTCTCAATTTCTCAATTTCTGATTTTCCGAATTTCTGAATTTCTGAATTTCTGAATTTCTGAATTTCTGAATTTCTGACTTTCTGAATTTCTGAATTTCTGAATTTCTGAATTTCTGAATTTCTGAATTTCTGAATTTCTGAATTTCTGAATTTCTGAATTTCTGAATTTCTGAATTTCTGAATTTCTGAATTTCTGAATTTCTGAATTTCTGAATTTCTGAATTTCTGAATTTCTGAGTTTCTGAGTTTCTGAATCTCTGAATTTCTGAATTTCTGAATTTCTGAATTTCTGAATTTCTGAATTTCTGAATTTCTGAATTTCTGAGTTTAGAATTTCCGAATTTCTGAATTTCTGAATTTCTGAATTTCTGAATTTCTGAATTTCTGAATTTCTGAGTTTCTGAATTTCTGCATTTCTGAATTTCTGAATTTCTGAATTTCTGAATTTCTGAATTTCTGAATTTCTGTATTTCTGAATTTCTGAATTTCTGAATTTCTGAGTTTCTGAATTTCTGAGTCTCTGAATTTCTGAGTTTCTGAATTTGAGATTTTCTGAATTTCTGAATTTCTGAATTTCGGAATTTCTGAGTTTCTGAATTTCTGAATTTCTGAATTTCTGAATTTCTGAATTTCTGAATTTCTGAATTTCTGAATTTCTGTATTTCTGAATTTCTGAATTTCTGAATTTCTGAGTTTCTGAATTTCTGAGTTTCTGAATTTCTGAGTTTCTGAATTTGAGATTTTCTGAATTTCTGAATTTCTGAATTTCCGAATTTCCAAATTTCCCGAGTTTCCGAATTTCGGAATTTCTGAATTTCTGAATTTCTGAATTTCTGAATTTCTGAATTTCTGAATTTCTGAATTTCTGAATTTCTGAATTTTTGAATTTCTGCATTTCTGAATTTCTGAATTTCCGAATTTCCAAATTTCCCGAGTTCCCGCCCCCCCGAATTTCTGAATTTCGGAATTTCTGAATTTCTGAATTTCTGAATTTCTGAATTTCTGAATTTCTGAATTTCTGAATTTCTGAATATCTGAATTTCTGAATTTCTGAATTTCTGAATTTCTGCATTTCTGAATTTCTGAATTTCTAAACTTCTGAATTTGTGAATTTCTGAATTTCTGAATTTCTGCATTTCTGAATTTCTTGATTTCTGAATTTCTGAATTTTGGAATTTGTGAATTTGTGAATTTGTGAATTTGTGAATTTGTGAATTTCTGAATTTTGGAATTTTGGAATTTGTGAAATTCTGAATTTCTGAAATTCTAAACTTCTGAATTCTGCATTTCTGAATTTCTTGATTTCTGAATTTCTGCATTTTTGAATTTCTTGATTTCTGAATTTCTGAATTTTTGAATTTCTGAATTTCTGAATTTCTGAATTACTGAATTTCTGAATTTCTGTATTTCTGAATTTCTGAATTCCTGAATTTCTGAATTTCTGAATTTCTGAATTTCTGAATTTCTGAATTTCTGAATTTCTGAATTTCTGAATTTCTGAATTTCTGAATTTCTGAATTTCAAATTCGATTGTCCAATATTCGTGAGTCAAATAACTTTCCGCTTTAGACGGGCCGGCTGCCAAAAAGGGCCAAAACTGATTTATTTATATTTTATCTTCTTTTGAGATTGAGAATTTGTAAAATCTGGTTTCCAGTATTCATTTTAGTCCAAAAACCAATGTACTAGCACTTCTAGAAACCGAGATACAACCGTTCAAAGTTTTGAAGAGACGCCGACAGTTAGAGTGTCTTGTCGTCTGCGTCTCTAACTTCAAATGGTTGTATCTCGGTGCTCAGTGGTTCTAGAAGAGTGATTTAGATACTAAAATAACTAATTTTTTTGGCTTTTTTCGACCTTTTTGGCTTTTTCCGGTCATTTTTAGGAGTCTGGAACTCGGCTGTCAAGTTTCCGATCACTCTGAAAATTTTGAAAGGTATAAAGCAAACCTAGATTAGAAACTTTGCATTC